AGATGCCCCAGAAGCAGGTCCAGGTTGGAGGAACATGTCCCCAATATAAGGCCTGTGTCTGTTGTGCGTTAAGGTCAAGCAATAAGCACACAAAGATCACCAGGCATGAAGGGAAGGAGAGACACCATGAAGGAGAACAGGAATAATAGACAGATGTAGGCATGCTCAATGACCACACATACAGGAGCTGTTAGATACGGGCCATGGGGTATATAAAGAAAAAGTGGAGAGCTGGGCACAGTGGCTTGCAGCTACAGTCCTGGCTACTTGGGAGACTGAGGCAGAGCATTGCTTGAGGCCAGGAGTTTGAGGCTGTGGTGAGCTGTGATTGCATCACTGCACTCTAGCCTGGGGGACAGAGCGAGACTCCATCTCTGAAAAAATAGAAAACAAAAAAGAGTAGAATTTCAAATGAAAAAGCATCGTGAGCAGTGATAACAGATTTGAAATGGAACCAAATGAAAGCTGTAGAAATGAGAAATATAATTACTGAATAAAGAAAGTGGAGGAATAAACAGCCCATTAGATACAGCTGTAGAAAAAATTTGTGTAATAGAAACTGCATTTGAAGAAATTACCAAGAATGTAGCACAGAGAAGAGCACATGGAAAATGTGAAAGCAAGAGTAAGAAATGAGAATAAGATCAGAAATTCTAATCGGCATCCAAGCAGAGCCCCAAAAGGACCAAATGGGGAGAATGGAAGAAAACAGTATGTAAGGGAATAACTACTGAGAAAAGTCCAGCTGGCACCAAGCAAGTTAACCATCTCAACTGCTGTGAGACTGTAGAACACCAAAGTCCAGAAGAATAACTTAGAAATAGCCAGTTCCTGCAAAGGAGCAGTAAGTACACTCAGCAACGGAGTCAGAAAGATGATAGAATATTGTTAAAGCATTGAGAATAGAGCTGCCAGTCCCATTTGTATGCCCACAAGACTCTTTCAGGGATGCGAAAAGCAAGTCGTTTTTAGACAAACCTAGTCTTAGAGACCTTCACTAAAAGATTTTCCAAAGGATATATCCTTTTATTTCACCTTTTTCCAATAAGCCTTTTCGCATCCTAGATACATTCTTTTGTTTTAGCCTTTCTTCCCTCAGGTATAAAATGGGAAAAGAAGTGTTGAGCACAGATGATAGTAAATGTGTGTAAATCTAAACCAGTGATTCTCATCCAGGGTGATGTTGCACCACAGGGATATTTGACAATGTCTGGAGACATTTTGGGATGTCACTACTGTGGGGGTTCTGCTGGTGCATAATGGGTGGAGGCCAGAGAGGCTGCTAACCGTCTTACAAGTACAGGTCAGCCCCCACTACATAGAATCATCTGGGTCAAATGTCAGTAGTGAAAAGGTTGAAAATCTCTGGTGTAAATAAAAATTTACCTCTGGCCGGGCGCGGTGGCTCAAGCCTGTAATCCCAGCACTTTGGGAGGCCGAGGCGGGTGGATCACGAGGTCAAGAGATCGAGACCGTCCTGGTCAACATGGTGAAACCCCGTCTCTACTAAAAATACAAAAAATCAGCTGGGCATGGTGGCGCGTGCCTGTAATCCCAGCTGCTCAGGAGGCTGAGGCAGGAGAATTGCCTGAACCCAGGAGGCGGAGGTTGCGGTGAGCCGAGATCACGCCATTGCACTCCAGCCTGGGTAACAAGAGCGAAACTCCGTCTCAA